GGAGGCGGGGGTGGATGGGGTGGGCGGGGTGGATGGGGTGGATGGGGAAGAGGGTACATTCTCAAGGATAACATGACACGCGTGTAAAACCGTGTGTGCGCTGAGAGCTGTCTTTCGTTAACGCAGTCGTTCCCTTTCGTCGCGGCGTGACGCAAAACTGTAGAACATTAAGCGGGCGCTGGAGAATACGAGGACGAACAAAAGGGGAAAGGGGAAGTCACGGGGAGTCTCATTGTCACGACAATATCGCCTTCGGCGGCATTGGCGAGGCATGCGCACGTCAATCTTCACGGTTTTTTTTTTTTAACTTCGGGTTGGAATATTTGGCGTGTCTGAAGTAAAAAAAAAATTCGTGACCAACAAAAACGGTTGGGGAACAAAATTGTTGTTATCAAGATTTGGTGGATGGCGGGGAGTCCCAACCGGTCAATATTTAAATAGTTAACAAATAGTCAATAGTTTAAATCCGCGGTTTATTCCGTTTTAAAATCTCACGAGAATCATCTTCATCACATACTAATAATTATTGACATGTTGACATAATTATAGTAATTATCACAGTTAATATTTATGTTTCAGAGGACTCCGTCGTTGACATCACCACGGCAAAGTTACTCGTAAGTACACACCACAGATACTTTGAAATTTTTCCTAAAACTTTTCGTGTTTTGCCTTTTTATTTAAGACAGTCGCGGTTAAATATTTTTTTATTATGAAAAAACGGTGAATGTGAGTCGCTAAAGATTGGAGACGTTCTCCTACGCCACTGCGGTGTGCAAGGGGGAGGGGGTGGCAGAAAGGGGGCTGCAAGGAAGGGGGGGGTCGCAAGGGGGGGTTGAAGTCTCCACAATGCATTGGGTGGCCGGGAAGAAAGGGAAATGCTGAGGGACAAAGGGACAGGGTGGGGGCTACAACTTCGCCAGAGGGTACGAATAGTAAACGGGGGTAGAGAGAGATGGGGTTTTCATGCAGTAGTACGAGAAAATACAGTCCGGAGATGCTCTAAGGTACATAATCATGCTTGCTGATTCCTTCCCTAATAAAAGTCGCACTGTCACCGGAGCCCCAGAGTCCCACACACATATCCCATCCGATCTCTTGCCGTCTCGCTTCTCTTTTCACTTTATCCTTTTCTCGTGCTTTTATACCCTTTTTCGCGTCAACCCTGTCACCAGGGTGTGGAACAAAGATGGTGGGTATCGAATGCCCCCGAGGGCCAGAGACTCTGCCCATGGCATCTTCACTCAGATGCAACTACAATACTTCGATATGCTGTTTAATGTTTTTCATATATTAATGAGGGATCCCTTCGTTGCCACTGACATATGCGCAATTTTGTTTTTCATTTTTTTCTTTGAAGTCAAATCATTTCTTCCGGTACTCTAAATCACCCGGAATTATTCAAAAAATAGATCTAGTTTATGGGATATTCATTATTACTGCATATTTTTTTATGGTCATCGAAAAAAAATTACGGGAGAAGAATAGTCTGGAGATTTTTATTCCCCGCGAATGAGTTAATTTTTAATTGAGTCAATTATTTCTGAATAAAATATAGAAGAATTTTTTATATTCGAAAATCGGTAGTTGTGAATTATATAGTAAATCTTCCCTCGGAATCAATTCTGATTTAATCCCTATTTTTATAATATCTCCCCAGTTTAATAAAAATGTAGTCATGAATTTAAACGAGACAAAAATAGCCAATTAAGTACCCAATTCCCATAAAATTTACAGCCGCGTTAATATCCCGGCAATAAAAATTCTCATTGAATAAAATCCGGTTAGATAATCACCGAAAGGAATAAATGAATTCCTCAAAGAAAAGGCCATTGAAGCTGGTGCAAGTCCCCCGGTAACCTTGCAGGGTCTCCAGGGGTCCCTTTAAATGCCCCCCCTGGAAGAAAAAGAAAGAGACGCAAGACACCAGGTCTTTGCCCCAAAAAACAGGTCTCAAGGTGCAAGTCTAAATTTAAAGGTCCCCGAAAAGAAATCCCACCAGATGTTCAGACCTACCCTAAACCCACGCGTGCCGATATTCACCTCGAATCCTGCATTCCCGACACGTGGGCGATTCCCCAGGAAATTCTTATCCCCAAAAACGGCACATCACTTAGTTTTTTTTTTTTTTGCCCCAACGCTAATAACGCGTTCTAATGCGCAGGAGAATCTCTCGCTCGACATATGGTATCCCGTCATTGTGAAACCCACCCTCAAGAGATGAAAACTCCGAGAAACCATTCATTATATTTCCACCGATAGTCTCTCATTTGTGGAAGAATGAGAGCCATGAAAAATCGAACCGGATATCGAGAAGAGGTCCAATATGTTGCGAACGTGAAGGGTAACAAAAAAAAAAGGTGGATAAAAAAAAGTTGAAAAAGAGGAAACGTTGCTTAGACATGAGGATCGGCTCGTGCCGATCTCGTGTTCTTGTGGGTTTGTTTTTTTTTTTTTTCCTCTTTTCATTTTTCAAGCACCTACGCAATGAAATTGGATTTTATCGTATGTCGGTCACCGTATGTTCAGTGGCACGCGGCTGAGATGGAGAGGTTTTTTTTTTTCTTTCGGTTTATCGAGAGGGAGATGAGGGGCTCCTAGCGGTTTCTAATTATTGGTCTCTCAAACGTTCCTAGGCTTTCGATCTTTCTTCTTTCCAACATTTTCCATACTTTATATATTTTTTAAATATCAAATTTTATCAATTGACTATCTTCATTTATTTTTTATTAATCAATTCCATTTTTATTCTGGGGATTAATTGAATTTTAAAATTGGCATATGAATTTTAAGGTGTAGACGTCTAAAATCCTCGAATACCTATTTTTGATAAAATTCAAAAAATTATTAATTTGACTTTCACAGATTGTCTGAATATCTATAAAATAATTCGATAATATTCTCTGACATAATTAAAAATTGTGGCTGAAATTTCGAGAGATTCATAATAATACCTGAATTAATTTAAAATTCAGATGATAAATAATTTGATAAATTCATCGTCTCAATGACGAAAAAATAAATATCCTGTGGGACTGGGGGTGTAGTAAGGAGCAAATAAAATTTAAATAAGAATTATTCTGGCATTTCTCCCCGAGTGGAATAATTCGTTGTAGTTCTCATTTGGAGTACGTCCGTTTACAGGACACGGGCGCATTGTTATTGGCACACAAACCGCCCACGCGTCTTGTAATTTCCCAAAAGGCAACAACCGGAAGTGTCCCACTGGGTGCTAATGCTCCATTGTCGGTTACAATCAGGGCGACAAATTACAGGGGTTTTACGGACTCTCCGGAGGCGTGAAAAGGTGGAGGTTGAGTCATTATTCCGATGTTCAAGGCGTAAATGAAGATGAGGTGTCTCGCCGTGGGGGCTGTCAATTCACGACACCGGAATTGTCTATTTTTTGGGTCTTTATGTGGGCCTTAAGGTCAATGGAGCCACTGGGGGTCCTATTCCGCGCATTCTCACCTCAAAAGTCAACTAGTAGCTTTCAGGTCTAGGCCAATTTAGTTTCACCTAAATCTCCATTTAACGTCTTCTTTTCGCGTCAACTCAAATGCTTTTGTACTCCAGCTGAAATATTGCGTTCTTTCTCAAATTATTTGTTAAATTAACAGCTTTCACGTTCCCTGAAAATATCTAAAGAATTTCAGAGGTCATTGAAAAAAATCAGTAATCACTCGAAAAAATGTGGGACAAAAACAGAAAATAATGACAACAATAATATCAGTAATGATGACAAAAAAAATGGTTTCATAGAAATATCTCATATAAATGATAATATTTAAATATCTATTTACCGGAGAAATAAATTAATTCTTTGAAATGGCGTACGTCTCGTATTAGTATTTTTTGGCGATCGTGTAAATTGTAAAATATTGTGCTATAAACAATTGAAAAAAATCAGCTCCCGTACCCCCCGTCACGCTGAAATATTTCATTGAAATTACAAACCCATATTCCCCCCGATGGCCAAAGTAGCTCGTGGCAGAACTACCTGAAGCAGCTGCAAGGGTCTTTCTCCCTCGCCAGAAGTTTTATTTTCATTTTACCTCGCCTTATGGGCGCTACTAAAGAGCAAGAGAGCATGTTCAGGGGGGGGATATCCTGAGGAGGGGGTATAGAAGGGAGGGGGTCTGCGCTGTAGTGAAGACTGGGGGGAGCTCGTACCCGAGGGGGAGTTATCGGCTAGACACCGCCAGGTAAACTTCACGCTCCAGAGGGGGTGCCATCTGCCCCCCCTTCCTTTCCCCCTCTTGTAACGAGTATGTGACGTCAGGTGTGACGATTGTCCATCCAAGGAGCGTCTGTCTTTGCCGATGTTATTTTTCCCCTCGTCCCCTTTGGCGGATTAATTATTTATTTTTATCCCTTCTTTTTATGTGCGAGACTGACAACACGGAGGAAAATTACTGCGTTATTAGATATTTTATCGCTATTTCAGTCACTCTCAGTTAAATTTCTAATTGTGAGGTTGAATTGAGTTTCAATTGAATGTCATTGATTTTTTAGTGAATCCCTGAATTTTCAGAATGATTGGAGAAATTCGAGGTGAAATAAAATTCATTGTCAATAAATTAAAAATATTGGAAAATCATTTTGTGAATTTTTGATATTTCCACAAGTTGTCAGTCTCAGATGGACCTAAAAATGGGAAATTATGGGAGGATTAAAAAATGCAACTAGTCCACTCGCAAAATGAGATTCTACTGTAATGATTCATCTACTCTGACTAGTGATGCGTGAAATGAATCGAATGACACCCCAGAAAAAGTTAATAATAATCGACAAATCGAAGCGAAGCGATTGTGTTGTTTTCTTCAGGGGGTTATCCTGAGGGAAGAGCCCCCCCTCAAGGGGAGAAGTAGTCGCGTGCCCCAGGCAGATGCGCGACCAAAGGGGCACGAAGGGGGACGTCCACGAAACATGGAATGAGAAAGGAAAAAAAAGGAGAGGCTCAAACAGAGGGAAACGGAGAGGAAACATACGGTGGGATTTCACCTATACGCTATCAGGTAATGAGAGAACAATTCCTACACGTGAAAAAATTTTCTACTGTGCAACTGATTGCGAAAGTCATTGAAATTTCATTCGACGGTAAATGACGCCCCAGAATAACATGTCTCTCTCATTTTACCTCTCACAATTGAGCCTGAGTTATAGAAAGAATTCGATTTTCTCCGGACGGAAGTTGCGATGACTGAAAAATTTTCAGATGGGGTTGCGAAAAAAAAGGCTTGCATTTATTTACAAACGGAGACGAGGAAAAAGCCGAGTGGACCTTTTCCATTAGTACTCGAAAGATTAGAATCCTTCCTGTCATCTCTTTTCGCTTATTTCCCCCCGTTTTTAATGCTCTCTCTTGTTTCGCGGCTCAGACGCCCTTTGACGATGGACTTTGCAGAAATCTTAAATACCACAGCGAAACAACTCTTCAACTAACAACCAGTTTATTATAACCGTGGGAGACATTCTACAGAAATAATAACGAAGATAGTCTGGTTTACCAATAAGAAAATTCGGCATTTGCGGTGGCGTAAATATGGATGTTAATACATATATAAATAAATATCAAGGTAAATAAAAAAGTTCTTCCGTCATTTATCCGCGAATT